TTTATCGAAACGTTTTTCTTATTGTTTAAAATAATCAAACTGTGCATTTGCTCTCACACCATAATCGATGTTATGTTCGGTTTTTAATTATTCTATCGATTTTTAACGTTCTAAAGCCCATGGGTTTATTTTTATTTTTTTACCACAGTTCGGCGGACTTCGAGAATCACAGCTAGCCCGAGGCAGGTGTTTGGGTCCAGGGCCAAATAGCGTACAATCGTTAAGACTCAATGATGTTTTTGACGATGTTTGCTTCCTTATCCATAGCGAGTAACCGAACAACACACGAATACGAGAACTGTGTGTGTATACGAGTGTTTAATAGATTATTTATTAACAATGCTATAAAGTGTTATATCGTCACTTGAGATGCAACACCTCATATCTAAATGTTTTCAACTTCTAAGGAGAGCAATGAAACTGGTTTAATTTAAATTTATTTGACTCCCAATGATATTTAAATTTTTTTATAATCACGGAGTTGTATTTTAATTTTAGAAATGTATGCATTTATGCAACCAGTCTACTCTAGGTGAAACGTTGAATAAAACAGCGATGCTAACCCTATTTGACCAAAATGTGAGACATGTGATGTTGCATCATAAGTGACGATTTATAAACTTGAGATAAAATTCGTGTTCTTTAGTAGTATTGTATGTGCATGATCGATGTGCATTTTCTTCCTTCTATGCACAACACACGATATGGTCGACTTGTCGGTAAAACTATTTGAATCGAAAACTGTGGACCATTTGTAGTCAGCAATATATGCTACAATTTGGCCAATAGTTTTACTCGATGAAATGGGATTTTACCCAATACACGGGATATCCGTGCGTTTTTTTTTTTCTGTGCGGAGTATAATTAATTATTTAAAATTAACAAAATTGAACGAACTGTTTTTCGATAATAAAATGTCGATACTGATCAACAGACAAAATGAAAATCACGCAATCAACATCACTTTTACTATCGCTCGTGAACGAACTGTAGTATGTCACGTCTTATTCTTTAAATTCTAGACGTTTTAATCCTATATGATTAATATTCTTATAACATTATATGATATGCAAATAAAATGTAATTTATAAACAGTTCCACGAATTTTCCTCGAATTCGATATAGGTATAGTGTACAGAAACGAGCAAGGTCAATGAAAAAATTACGTATATGATAAAATATTATGTATAATTATGAATTATGTTTACTGTGTAGCACGTCATGTGTGTATGGTTTAACCGTAAAGCATAATCATTTTAAATTGAATTTTACAGTGAATAATTTTTAAGCCATTTAGTTTTGCACGGGAGACCTGTTTATTTTAAAAATAAAAATGAAATCGTATGGCCGTACAGAAAACAAATCAACAGGGAATTCGTAAAATCGCGTTATAAGGTTACACTCGATAATATATTATTGCGTGCAAGGATAAATCGGTCTTTTTCGATTTTTATTTTATTTTTAATATATACGCTTGTGTATAAGTGTTTATTTTATTTTTTTTTTTATTCGATACGATACGCTGCGACTTGTAGTGTGTAATTTACAGAACTCATTTGAATGCAAATGTTGATGCATGATCGTAAAAACACCTCTTCTGTCTTGAACAGGGGAGAACCTAAGCAATTTCATACTTAAAATTATCATTTTAAAAAGTATGCAGCGAGAATCACGGGGGATAGACTATACGTGGGGTTTTTCGGGAGGGGATTATCGTTTTCATCGCACCCCTTTTAGAACATGTGACTGCACTAGAGTTGTTCGAATGTTTTCGCAACAGGTCGACGAACGCCGCGTGTAAATTCATACGTGACCCACACGCAACAGGGGCTATCGATCGGACACATGTATTTATTCGGTACATGCAAAATAATTTATCAAATCCATATCTAACGAATTCGCACGTACGTGTACGTACGCATTGTTATAATGTTGTTCACGCGGACGGAGACGATCGAATTATCAAAATCGGGTAACGCAACACCGGTTATATTGCGTTTTACACCGGCCGTACGAATAACAATAAAGTTACCCTGTAAATTATGCGTATTACGCGTCGAGGTTACTTTTTTATCGGCCCCCGTGCGCGACTGTATACCCGTTAATTCGCATAACCTTGCGCAGCGGATTACTTTGATTTTAAAAATTCCTGGGGAGCGAACACGAAGCAAAAGTGACATTAAACAAGAACGAGTGGAAATGCAACTTTCGTCGTTTTGTTTCCGATCCGCGTGCCCGACGAATTTTCGATTTGGTTGGACGCGGTCGCGTGATTGACAATGCCCACAGCACCCACCGACACCAGTTACCAAGAGCATAACCCCAGGGAGGAGGACGGGTCCGGACCCCTTTTGAAATTTCTACATACTCAAAGATTTAATAGTAAATAGTATAGAAATAGTATATAATCTATTTTAATTTCCTATTATCTTCAATAAACAAATTTTATAGATTATATAATATAACTATAATGTATAAACCACAATATAATATATTAACAGTAATTTTTTGGTATTGAGTTAAACCATAATTATAACTAGAGAACAGATAAAATAACAATTTTGGATCCTCCCCTCAATAAAAAATTACTGGGTATGCTCCTGTCAATTACAATAATATTTGCTCCACTCGAAGGGTTACTCGACTTTCACTTATAATAAGGATACGTTCTATTCAACACGGCCGCCTAAGACATCAAAAAATAATGTTTCATCGAAACATTATCGGCGCATCCACGAAGGTGGAGTAATTGCCATTAACCGGCTCAAAAACCTGGACATTCGCCACACGAAACAACTCATTAACTACTGAATTCTTAGTCGTCAGTCCATACAATATTATAAAATTTATTCGCTTTGATATTTACGTATTCACTGTTACCATACTAGTTGTATGGTTTTCATGTATTCAACCAAGAGATTTCCCATACACGTTCGATTTGAAATTCGGAACGTTTTTAATTAACTACCTATAATACAATGTTAACAAATTACCATTTTCATTAATATTGAAAAGGAACAATAAAATGGTGTAAAAATAAATGCTGTAGTATGATTTTGTTTTCATTTTGATTTTTATAATCGGCATTTGTAGTATGGTTTTAATGTATTCTTCCGAGATATTTCCTAAACACGTTTTTTATTGGCTACCTATATACAGTGCTAAAAAATTACAGTTTTCATATTTATTGGAAAATAACAATAAAATAGATATTGTAGAAATGAATGCTATCGGTGCAGAAGAATTTAAAAAACTTGTTTGGGACACTAACTGAATGAACAATCAATCGAAAAATAAACTATACGAAAAGGTTACAGATTTTCAAGAAACAGAGACACACCCCAAATTACTGTAGACCACAGAGTTCATTAATGGTTCTATTCACAGATTAAAAGTGTACATTTTTATGAATAGCATGTAAATAAAAAATCCTACGTATTTAGCCACGTAAAGTTTATTATAATTTCCAAAGGCAACCGGAATATCGTTGTCAAGGAATTGTAAATATTGACTTTAACACGCCGATTGAAAAACGTCACTTCTCATTTGGCATTCATTCACATCAGATTATTTTCTGATATTTTTTTCTCTTACGTTTATGTTTCACGAAGTTGATAATCACAAGATGGCTAGTGGTAAGGCTTAGGAAGACACCATAAACAAATACTAATTCGGTCGAAAACTGTTTTCATGCCTGAATTATTCAAAACAACGGTAATGCCTATAGTATGCAATTATGTGTTCTTTTTTTTAGGAAAAGGCGAAAAGAGAAAGCTGGACGATGATGGTGAAATTACCATTCATCAATATCCCAACAAAAGGATATGTACTATCGACCGTTGGACGGAAACAGAGGTAGTCGATGAGCTGACTAATCTCATAAAGTAAGTGAACGTGTTCAATGGCATAGTACAATTATGAGACATGTGATACTTGTATTCAACATCGTCCTAATATTCGTTCATAATCCATTTCAGAATTTAAACCTATTCGCATCCATTTATATCATATTAAGATGCAATTGTATTTCGACCGATTGATGTGTGATATTTCTGTTACAGGCAATTATCATTGCTACAGGATGAACCCCCCCAGAGAGACCGAAACAGTGTGTCCGTACTGTTGTTTGTGGTCGTCGGATTCCGAAGAAGAAATTGAAGAGGAAGAGGAGAAGGATAATAAAAATAAATCCAAGATACTATCAAAGGCAATCGAGGAATACCAAGAAACCCTGACGCTTCTCGATGAGAATCCAAATTTGGACGACAACGAGAAAGCAGATATTTTAATGGAAGCTACCGAACAATATTTACGGATTAGGAGCTTAAATATATGAGTACGAAAAAGAATTTAGAGAATGAGGAAAGAAGACGACGAAGAAACCTGGTCATTCGCTACACTACAACGTCAACTCTATAGTCGAACGTATTACTATATTATGTACTTATAAATGTAATTATGTATTCTTGTATTATCACCGTAATACGGTATCTATACCACCCCCGACTCTGTTGTTTAACCATTTAACTTAATCGTCATACTGTAATGAACATTTAATTTCTATATATATATATATATATTGTAAACTATTTTTACTATTTTGTTTACTATATTTAATTTGTATAACAAATTGTATACTTATACAACGTATTTAAAAATAAACGTTATGCATTAAACCGTAAAAACGCTTTCAAAATCCGATGCTAACTATTCGATCGTGTTAAACTTCTGTTCCATAAAATATGGTATATTCAATATTAAAATTGCAGTCGACGGTAGAATAGTAAGTACACGTATAACTTACTATCACAGCTAACTATCCTTTATAGTATAAAGCTTCTTGATAATAAAATATTACCGCACATACATACGTACATCGTATATAAATTCAATATTCTTTTAATTGAGCTAGAGATAAGACTAGTTTAGTCATAGGGAGGGAGAACAATTTAAATACTTGATAAAATGGTTGTATAATAATAATAATAAAAAGACGCATGTAAAAGTCTCGGGCCCATCAATTCGAAACCGTTGTTTTATTGTTATTTATTACTCTATTATGGTGTTTACATAAAAATTAGTATGTAATACAGTTTTATCTACTGACTTTATCATATCATGTACAACGCATATTTGTTACATAAGAGTGAAATATCCGCGGACACAGTTTGAAGTAGCGCAGAGATAGCAAAAGAGTTAAAGCGTCTATATTTATCTATGTGTATTATACTTGATTTTGTGTAAATATACTTTGTTATAATATGTGTTACGATTGTTGCAATCGATCTATTTATGTTGCGGTCTATTGTTTGCCGTTCATGAAGTCGATGATTTCGTTGTATTTGCCCGTCGTATCGTATATTTGCATTATCCGATCGAAATCCGATCGCCTCGTGTTGTAGATATGTATCATCACCTGTCGGGCCATGATCTTCTGCCTAGGCGAGCATCTGGCACACACGGTGTTTATGATGTCGGGCAACAGGAAAGCTGTAAGTCAGAATACAGAATCGGTAAGTAAAGCGGATGGTGTACCACTACCGACAATTTTTTTAATTACATTTCCTTACATTTATGCATTTAAATTATGAATATATGAATAATTTAAATAAAGAACATATCATACACATTAAGCAATAGAATTTTATGTTGTTTATTGTGAATTAAAATATTATGTAAATGTGAGACAGTTTCGTTATCGCGTGCGCGTTCGTTTAAACCTTCAGTCATCGGGAAAGACCGGTACTGAACGCAAGAAGAAGGGGGAAAAATACTTATCTAAACCTATGGAATTATCGTCAAACTTTAATATTTGTATTTTTTTTTTTTTCACGATTACATTTGACGTGCATACCGTGCAGTATTCTCACGAGGCGTTAAGAAAAGGAAAATATTATTTAGGCATCTATACGATATGCGCAGAAAAATCCGTGTAGAATGGTCCTCTGATAATGCGCAAACGTATCTAGGTCGAAATTTTCTTTTGATCCGATAGTAACTGTAGTCTTATATTGTGTATTGAGTGAAAAACTTTTCTAAAACTATATATTTTCCTATCACATGCGCTGTTCTGACTTAGAAAATAATTTTCAACGTAAATGCTAATTACGCTGAATGGATTTACGAGCAAACGGAATCCGAATTCCAATAACGTGTGGATTTAAATAGCGGTGTTGATCGATTTGCGTGCTTTCAATAGCTTTTTACTGTCAACAAATCCGAAATGGTTTATCACTGTATAGATACGAACACGTTTACTGTATACGAGGTTACGAACTTCAGTGAAAATTTAATCACAATAAATAAAACATAATGCGATATCTACGTATAGGTGCTCTATAGTACATAAATATGATGGAATTAAAACGTAAAGATTTGATTTCCATTGCTTATAATCCATAGGAGTTTTAAATTTGCAGTGTTGGTCCGCGGTACACGGTCGATGGTCCTTCGGACGTTTTATTAAATTTGGTGTCGTAAAACGAGTGCAACTGCGATGTTCTATGAATACTGGTACTTAATAAGGTAAACGACTGGATTAAAAATAATTAAAAAGCGGAAACTCCAACGAGTAAACGAACGAAAAAAACACGCACCGCTTTAAGACCACGACTGACGTAACAGTGTAACAAACGATAGAGGTTACACCGTATCTATGTGGCACAAGAAACCGGAACGAGAGATTTTAAAACAAAAACTCCGTGTCGAATACTCCGGGAGAATTATTTCTCCGAACACCGCATACGAAACGTACAACGACATGCAAAGGTACGCTCACCGTTGTTTTAGACGCTCGGGATTCGAAGCTATTTTAAAACACCGTGTCGCATTTGAATGTTTGTTTTAGGTTTTCAATCGCCATGCGCTTAAAAATGTTCTCGACGAACCGAATCGTAAAACGATTGTTTTACGATTTCGTGGCAAATGCAAATCTCGAAAATCATTTTTCCGAGCCGGTCCAGGGATAAAGCGCCGACTTGGATTTCAGAACAGCCGGAGGGAAAAGACGATCACTTCCATCGTTTGGGAAACCATGCCCGGCCCCGTATCGTGTACCGAGGTACGAACCGCCGATTCGTTCTGCACATTCGAGTGCACCAAAACCTACTGCGGTCGTCGTCGTCGCGTAGTCGTACGAAACGCGTCCGGGTATTACCGTTGCGACGTTCAACAAACGTCGTCCACAAGAGTACGGATTTTAAAGCAATAAAGCTGTATAAGTTTTCCAAAAAAAAATTAAAATAAATAAACAAATTGTTTTTGGCATTCTGTAAACGACTGTACGGCGTTACAACGAAAGATAAACTGTGGTTCTGAGTAGATAATTTCCAGAGCAAGAGCATATTTCTGTGTTTATTGTCGTTTCAAGATAAATTAATGTACTATAAACCGTGCGGTGCACGGCAAACCGAACACGCGGGGAAAGGTTGTCGAGAAATGATCGAACAAGATTTAGAACACGTATAATATACAAATAGATATTAATATTACAAATACGTTTATTTAGAACACATTTCGTAGAAAAAAATGTAACATAGGAGCAAAAGGGAAATATCAAAAAAATACTCAAAACAAGCATTGATATACGAAAAACGCAGAAAAAAGCAAATCAAACGAATCGAATTTATAGCTGTAATAGCTCCGTTTTAGAACAATAGAGACTAAAAAGCTAATCCGTACTCTACCGATAACGTTATTGCAGACACATCGTACGCGCGACTTATTGTCTGCGCGTACAATTGTGCAGCGACTGGTGCGACGATGACGATGGAGAATATTGACCAAAACGTGTTCGACGTGCGCGCGGTTTCCATCGATTGTTGTTTGTAAACTTTTCATTTTTTTCTGTTATTGTTATCGCAACATTATTGTACACATTATGCGTGTATCATCGTTCGCTGAATCGGTTTTCAAATATTTTATTGAATACAGAAAAGATTACAGATTGAGGTACACACTGTAGGTACACATTCATTTGATCAGTACGCTCTTTTAAGTTAACATGGCTTTTGTCGTAAAATTTCTATTTGAAAATGCTCGAAAATAAAATTAATAAATTTAAAAAAACAATCGTATTTTATATTCATTTTACTTTTTTTTTTTTTTTTTTAACATTTTGTTTCATTTCAAACAAAAATTTTAGTGGGCCTCATTGAATACCTTCAAGGGCCACATGTGGCCCGCGAGCCGTGGGTTGGGCACCACTCGTCCAAAGTCTCGTTCGACAATCGTAGACGAAAACTAAATCGTCGCCGCCGCCGCCGCATAGGTACGTAATATAACGCACGCGCTCGATGTGCCCAACGATTGAGTATCATTACAATATTGTTAATATTATTATTATTATTATTATTATTATTATTATTATTATTATTATTATTTGTAATACAAACCATCGACTGAGATATATCAACAGTGTTAAACGAAAACACGATCCGCGCGAAAATGGATTGTACCTGTAACTGTTGTGTGATCATCGTGCGGAACTGCGCTCAAGCACAACATATTGTTTTGAGAAAAACAATGAAAAATTAAAATTAAAAACTTTTAAATGGTTAGTACTCGTAGATCAGTGTAAAAATAAACGAACGAACAGTTCACGCGTAGAAATAAATAGAAAAATATAACCTTAATATTATTATATTTGAAATCTGTCGATGAACCAGTCGAACTTTACAAAAATGTAATAACGCTCCAGGCTAAGCTTTTGTTTATTTCTATGTATAAACTGTTTGTTCATTAATTTATATGTAATGTTATTTTGCGATACCCGCGTGAGATAGTCATAACGCGCATGTTGGAATGATCTGTTAACCGTCTCGCGTGTATTAATGGGTTACGCTTAACGAGTTTGTTATGTTGCGTGAAATCGGTAAATCGGTAAGTTTACAGTTCACGTCGTAGTATCGTATCCAGTTACGTGTACGCAAAGTAACGGACTCGTTGACACGTTCCGAAATCGATTGATAGAAATCCCGCGGCAATATTCTGCGTCCTGACGAAGTCGAATTAAAAATTCCTACACGAATCATACCAGCTTCGATGGCGATAATAGTGCTGCACATATCGTAAATCAGAATGGTTATGTTTTACTATCGAAAACTGTGCACGCGTAAATCGTGTTATCCGTCATCGGTATGCAAGAATCGACGGAAACCATCGATTCGCGTATTCACGACATAATTTTCCATTTTTTTCACTGTTAGCAATAAGTATGTTTACTGTGATTAGTTCAGTAGTTTAAGTGTCATCATACGGATTTTAAAATTCTCGACAGTATTGATAGGACGAATAGTTAATAATAGTAAACACTTGTTTAACCTCCGAAGCACAACGAAATTCGAATGAAAATTCGTCGGTCACGCGAAAGGACAACGATTTAAAACAATTTCCTTGTAACGTAATTGAAACTGACTTTTGTATAGGACAGTAATATGTATGTATAATACTATGCACAACATTACTGGTCAAGACACTCAAAACGCGTCACGTGGTGTTTTTGTAAGCAAGTTCAACGAATGATCCAGATTTTTGGAAAAAAATGATTGAAAACGTATATTTTCCATTCTATGATTTTGGGTTATTTAGTTGATAAAGTGACACAACATACGCGCAATGCGTGGAAAGATAAACATTTTTTTTTTTTTTTGAAATTACATAGTTTAAATGATAAAAATAATCGAAGAAGTGATATTCTGCTCACCACTTCACTCTCCATCATTAGCATCAAATATTTAACAATTGAACAATTATTTCCATTACCGCATTCGTATTTTATTATAATCTAAACAGACATACTATGCGAAATACTTACACCGATAACGGTTCAAATCTATCATGTTTACCACACTTGATAGATATGAAATTGTCACGCGTTAATGAACCGTATTCGAAAATCGCTTAAAATGTATTCCCATACAGTGCAATATTTATTTGCCTGGCATACGATCAGCTGAATATTAAGAGTACGATGAATTCATGTGAACGGTTGAAATCTGGTTGGACAAGAAATGCAAGAATTATACTCCTCGAGAATTTGTATTAACCCCAATAGGCTGTACGAATCCATGAATTCACCTCTCTCTAGAAAACGATTTTTGTCACGTCGAACAATACATAAACCGCTGAATTAAGACCGTGTTTGTTTTTGACAACAAATCCGCCGAAACGTATTGCTTTCGATTGTATTACATCACATTTACTCGCCTCGTAGTTTTGAACTTCAAAATGTTTCAACCTCTCTAGCTGAAAGTTCAATGATGATTATTGAACTTTCAATTATTGTCATCATTCACAACCAATTAGTGCTGGATCTAGAGGAGGAGGAGCGAGTATTGGATATATACTTATCCCAGGCGCTCCTAAGTTTATGAAAAATAAAAAAAGTCACGAAAATATCCCGTAATTCTACCTACGTAAAAGCGCTGAATTTTTATTAGCCCCGGGCGCCATATTTCCTAGTTCTGGAACTGCACGTACGAGGGATTTTCGATAAATATGTCTAAATGGAACACTGCGAACATCAGATCTGGCGCTCTCGGGCGCTCCTTCGAGGTTTGTTCTCCGGCAGCTCTACGATCAAGCGGTGTGCCGTTGCGGACGCGAAAAACGTGAAACGCGTCGCCCGAGCAATCCTACATCGTCGCCGAACGGCGTATACCTTTGGCTTGTCGGCACTCCGCCGTGCAAGGACCCTCGCCTAGGAAGCACTTGATGTACGCGGTCACCAGCTTGTCGTTGCTCAGCAGGCGGCTGATGTCCATGTGATCGTAGGTGGTCACGTACCCACCGGAGCTCGTGGTCATGACCGGCGACCTGGTCTTGGACTCACCGCAGCGGACTGCAGCGGGAATCACGCAGACCGCGACGATGACCAGGAGGAGCGCGGGCACCGGTGAAACGTTACAGCGGCCGAAGGACATGGCTCGCGGAGGACTCATCGCGGGTCAGCGTCTACGGCGACGGTCTGTCGAGAATCGAAGGGCCGGCGTGGTTGCGCGCGAGACGAGAGAGCGACGAGGCGAAAACGTCGCCGGAAACGATCCGTGCGCACGGCGAACGAAAGGGACGTGGATGCGCGCGTTGATCGACGACGACCGTGTGACCGATTCGGTAACCGCGGGACTGCAATAACGATGCGATGGCGGTTTTGACGTTTCTGCACGTAACGCGGTCCGTTTTTATACGCGTCGAAATGCGTTTGTTTTGACAACACGAGCGCCGAACGCGACGCGATGTGTAACAACAAAACGGTCGTACGCGACCGATGACCGGGACCTGAGCGCGTTCTTTTCGCGTGCGTGATTCGTTAACAACGTTTTCGCCACGGCGGTACAATAATATTTCTGCACTATCTGGCGGTTCGTGACAATTCCACGGTCAAGCCGCCGCCGCTGCGTTCAAATTGTTCGGTGAACATGAAGCCAGATCAAACAGTGTTATGTACTTCTTTTATACTTGTAAAAGTTTAACGTTCGAACGCTTTTCATTAGTTTTTTTTTCTGTCGAAAACCGCTTCGTCGTAAACCTTGCCGTGTTCTTTTCGCTACTGTTTAGTAGAATGTTGGGAAATTCGTAAAACGACTACTCTCAAAGCACCAACTAGACAATATTTCCTATCAGAAATCTTATATGATTGTTTTATGATTGAAACAATCCTTCTGGTAACCTCCCGACTGTACCCAATGCGGTTCCCCGCTTACCGTAAAACACATTCTCACGGAATGCCGAAGTTACGAGAATGAAAGGAGAGAACTGAACCTTCCAGACCAGCGAGCCGATTCACTCAGCCCCGAACAAAGCAACCTGACATCGATGCTGGAATTCTTACACAAAACAGGACTTCTCAACAAAATTTAATATACAATAATATACTGTCGTTCTTTTCATTTTTAATGTATTTGTATATAAAACGTATAACCTTGTATAATATTGTATAGAATCATTGTCGTCCAATGGCCATAGTCGCCGCGGATTTAATATATAATAAAAAAAAAAAAAAAATCCTTCTGGTCGAAACCGTATACACATACGTATAAAAATAACACGCATAACATGGTTTAGCCTATGCATTCCTCGGCTTGCTCAGAATCTAAAATACGTAGATCGAAAAAAGAATAAAATATTCGTATATATGGATAATATAGTTTATAGTTAATTTTTAATAATTCAATACGGTTATCATGCTTGCGGTGCTAAGTTTGGTGCAATAGTTATTTGGAAACAATAATAAATGAAGTTCTCCTAATTACATCAATATACCGGAACACTAGAAACAATATATTGTAACGTGGTCGGGGATGACCAGTTAAATATATGATATTCAGGAAAGGTTTTCTAGTCCTTGTGAATATATTATACCGTAGCTCGGGAGCATAAAAGGAAAGATCTTGATATTACAAATAAATGTAGATTGATTTAGTTTAGTTATTATTATTTCCACCACATCCATACCAAACGTATTGCCTTGAATAACCGATCCCGTCAGCTACGTCTACTCCTTACATCTAAACACATCAATCTGAACAACAAAATACTTATATATAAACTGCTACTAAAGCCCGTATGGTCATATGGTATACAACTTTGGGGTTCAGCCAAACCATCTAACATAAATAGAATTCAAATATTCCAATCTAAATGCCTTCGACAAATTACCAAAGCCCCCTTTTACGTCTCAAACGATACACTCCACAAGGACCTGTCTATTCCAACAGTTCAACTCGTAGCCAAAACTCTGTATAAACGATTCCACTCAAATCTCTCCAACCACCGTAATCCTCTAATCTCAAACTTATCCACCCTCAGCATTCCAGGTGACCCTGGACGACGTTTGAAACGAAAATGGTGTCGGGACCTCCTGACTGAATAAAACCCATCCGCAACTCCAAAGAAGTCCCATCACTGGATGGGTTCTTCGCTCAAGTCTTCAGTCTTCTTATATAAATCTACTACAACACTTACACTTATTGTAAAAATAATATATTTACAGATTGTGTAATAAAACAAATAAAAAAAAAAAAAAAAAAAAAAGTTATTATTATTTAATATACATATATAAATAAGACTTACTGACTATGGACTACATCAAGACAATATGGAGTTCGGCTACATCGGAAGAACATCGTGGCAGAACTGCCACGACTTAATGTAATATCGTAAACATGTAAATTAACGTGATGTCTACTAAGCAATATCCATATTACATGAGTAGACATTAATAATATCAATAATAATCGTTACAATATGTTACCACAAAGTATTGGCCCATTTTCAATGCAAACGGACTAGAACGTATTCTAAATACGTTTGACTGATACAGATAATCGGATAGAATTTCTCCATGTTTACCACTAACATAGGGGAACTCACGGAGATGGGATTCGAACTGCAACAGTTGGCCATTCATTTGACAGAAATGGGTTGGTATATTTCTGCAATCGAATCGAAAAAAAAATGTAGTTATCTACTCGTGCTATCGATAGTAAAATCATGATTTAAACGCATGGCCGTAATGCTGAGTGAATTGATCCATTGAAATTATTGAATAAAACTGACATAAACTGCTTCACCCTATATAAATACACCGCGGCATTTCACCGTTCATCGGCTCTGATTCGGACTTGGTAAGCAATATACGATGTCCTACGACGGTATAAATGACACAACTTCACCGTTAAAAGAAATTCTGAAACACATAGTTGAAAATGGCCAAGTATTCTCGTTCAGTCGTTGTCAATTAAATGTGCATGTAAATTTGCTGTGTGACCGAACGATCGAAGTCTGGAAAAGAAAAACTGTGGATTTTCAATACTTAATCAACTCATTGTGAATATTAGTTATATCTGGATTTCAAAATTACGAATTATTCGTGTTTGTCAAATCCGGATTTCACGGATTATCTGGATTACATACTACATATAACTCAATTTCGCTGGTCAATAAATCATTTTTATGTTCTAATAAAATGAATTCTCAGAAAGTTCAAAAAATTATCAGCATAATAAAAAATAAATAAATAAATAACTTTACCACACATTAAAAATAATTATAAGTCACATCCGGGTACTTCGGGATTTGGACATCCGGATGGTTTGGAAAGTTCAGATTTCATACCCGTCCCTAGTGTACGCGCATGTGCTCGTGATGTTGAAAACGATTCGATCGAATTGGTAACGACTAACAGAGGGATAGTATAAGAACGAGTACAATGGGATACAAATATGTAAGTAGATTATTGAAACGCATAATGAGAAAATCTAAAATACCTATGTACTCGCAGTCGGCGGTTTCAACCGTAATCTACGCGTACTATTGTAATAATATTATAATACATATGACACACGGCGGTCGCAATTTTGTAGTGCAGTCATGGTGTAGGCACACAGCGATAAAAATGTGAACGTGTAACGCAGTTAAAGGCCTGCAGAGAAATCGACTATTTATATTTAATTAGCGACGTGGCGACTTGTTGATATCGCTAGTGGGCGAATAACGAGTTTCCGCATTTATAATAAACTACTGAGTAATAAAAGCAAAAACGTTTTCAAACCGATTCTATTGTATCTACATCGTTTCCGTAGTCTACACTCCATCCGAATGTTATCGGCGGCCGGGTAGGGGGCCTCGCACACACTCGAGACGTGAACGGTTTAATGAAATTAATAAATTTAAGCTTTAGAACCCGCAATCGAATGATGCAGTTCATAATACCCTATGATATAAGACGATACGAATTGTGTGCACATAAAGATACGAGATCGATAAGATTTACGACTCTCTACCAGACGACGTGTATCGTATAACGTAATATCAAATAAATATTTTCATTCCATAATCCGGCTTAGAAAAATAACTTGAATCTAAAACGCATTTGTAAATAAATGCAAAACAATCAATTTACAAAACAAATTATGACAACTTTTAAGTATCGCGACTGAAATCCAACGGTTGTAACTTGAAAGCCTTGATATAAAATAAATAATAAATATCTTTAGACTCTCTAGTAGTTATAGGTAATGTAAGTTTTGGCTAAATGGAAACCGTAAACGATCGGGAGAAAGAGCTTCTGCAGTAAATTAGTGTAGATTAGATCATATTCATTTTTTCCTGATCATATTGACCTGTTTTGTTTACTTTACTACTTCAGCACTATCTAATAATCGCAATAACGAATTAATTCCGGTGTGACCGGGATTATTTACCCCCGTGAAATTTTATCGGAGGAGTAAAATTTCACTAATGAATTTTTACTAGAGGAGTAAAATTTCTCTAGTGAATTTTTACCAGAGGAGTAAAATTTCTCTAGTGAATTTTTATCGGGAGAGTAAAATTTTACGCGGTAAAAATTTTTAATATTTCCTAATATATTATCCCTAATGAAATTTTTTTACCTCCCAGTAGTTATTATCTGGTGAAATGTTACCCCTAGGTAAAATATTTACGGCTAAAATGTCATTAGAGATTACTTACTGGGGAGGCAAAGAGGGCAAAATTTCGCGATGGTATTTTATATTTTTTTCTAATTGTTTTAATAATAATAATAAAAATATGTCCAGCCGTCAAGGTTAAGATAACATAGCAATAACTTTTTAAAATGTATTTTATTTATGACTCAAATATACATAGTATAAAGAATAATAGGTAATTTAAATTAAAAATAAGATTGCTGTTAAAAAAAAAAAAAATAATAATAAAAATAATAAAACACATAAATTGATAAAATTTATATTTAGTTTTCAGTAAAAGATAATTAAACCTTATACTTGTTTTTATAAATTAAATACCTAATGCGTGCAATAGTAATTTTTTAACTAATTACAATCTTCATTCCTAAGTCAATTGTATATTTATATAATTATTTTTATGTAAATTTATATTTTCCAAAGATACAGCAAATCATTGTTTATATAATAATAAATTCATTATTAAGTTTTTTTATAGTCTTATATATTATCATATTTTTGTTTAAAATATAATATAAGAGAATAATAAAGAAACAAAATACTTACAATGTGTACGATGATTTAAAAAAAAATTTATTTTATTTATAAACATCCAAACATATATAGGTACCATACTAAACTATTCACGACGAACTGTTCACAATGAAGACAAATTCGGGAATGAAAAAATAATCTGAAATCTGTCTAACCAATCCTAAAATCTGGCTACATAATTTTTTTCCCTATACTCTACGAGATTTACAATATAATTATCATTTGTTTATTTTACATTTATTAATAATATTTCAACGTATATGTCTTGTATGTATCCTACAATAGAAATCCCTGGTAAAAA